AATATATATAAATCATTCAATGATACATCAGAGCTCATATAACAACTTTTTATTACGTTTCGGGGCAAGCCCCTTCTTCAGATTACATGTGTACACTTGATTTCAACTATTTAAACTGTCCATATACTAATTATAATAATTCGCTTGATTAACTCTATTGTTCAAACAAAGTCTTTTAAATTCAACCCATGCGGTTCAAACGAATTCAGTTTATAAGCCCAAAAACCTTCTCTTTGTGTGGGACATGCAACATTAGTTTTATCAATAATTTTAACTTTCACATCTTGCATACCATTATGACCTTGATCAAAAAAATGAGAGTTAATCAAGCGAATTATTATAATTAGGGTATGGACAGTTTAAATAGTTGAAATCATGTAATCTGAACAAGGGGCTTGCCCCGAAACGTAATAGAAAGTTGTTATATGAGCTCTGATGCTCTGATATACATATACATATATATATACATATATATATATATATATATATATATATATATATATATATATATATATATATATATATATATATATATATATATATATATATATATATATATATATATATATATGTATATATATATATATATATATTAACTGAAATATTCGGGAAATCAATAAATACTTTATTTTCCAAAGTTAAAGTTAATGTTACAATTGTTAAACACGGGATTACAATAAATAAATAGGTTTATCACCTTTAAGCTTCAGCCGAAAATTAATTTGCTGGTAAACACGGTAGTGACAAACTAGTTTGTTTAAGTTTTCGTATGTGGAACACTATTACAAATGAACATGTAAAAGTGCCAGCTGAACGGCTGAAAAGAATTATTATACTGTCATGTCTAGTAATTTGTAGTGTAATTTCTGTATTTTTTTGTTATCCTATAAAAAATAGTTGGGTAAAGACGGTAGTGTTAAAAATCTCACAAATAATATTAGCGAAACCTATATAGGCCTACGTCTTAAAACTTTATTTAATTACAAAGAGAAACAACGTTCAGGTTTTTTTATTTCATGCTTGTTGCCTTATTTTCGCGATTGACAGCCACTAATTCAAAGACACTAACCTTGCTTTACTTTTTAAAAAATTCAAAAAATCCATACTTCACCAGTACTTTTTAATGAAACCTGACAAGCAATTTGTTTGCGAAATGACAGTTAACTTCTGGGACAGGTTGTTCAAAAGCCGGTTAGCTTAATCCTGGGTTAACGTAAAATTCAGAGCATATATTCTACCCAGTAGCTTGTTGATAAACTTGGAAATTAGACCGTTTGCTGCGTCCCGATATTGTTCACTTTCATTTCACCTGTCTTGGAACTGAAATATTTTTACAGGAACTAACACTTTCGGACACACTGAGTTCAAATCCGAAAAGTTCCCGCTCCGTAGACATGCAGTTTTCTCACTAACTGCAATTTTATCTTCACTAATTTCAGGACAACTTTTTTCATTGTTCAACGACACGGATCGATGACGACAAACGATTATCTCACTCAAAAAGACCATTTTCTATTAACCAGTCTACCTTTTAACAAAAGACCGGTTTTGCTCGAATAATTTGGATTATGTTATATAAAACATAGTTTTGCGGGTTTCTTAACTTTCTTTTGTTTCAACAGGGTCGATTACTAACTAATCGCCCGCTCTACCGGGCGATTTAGTAAATTTCCCGTTGGCAAGGGTCACCATTTGTCTCCCTGCCGACTACGCATTCAGCAAGTTCCTCATGTTATTATTAAACTAGAAATACATGGATCCAGTCACCCCTCGCCAATATTTTCCAAACATTAAATTAACATGAAGTATTCAGAAATGACCAACACTGAACGCAGGCTCGACCTATAGTGTTGCCATGACAACACAATATTCTTAAATTTTTAATTTTTTCGTATTTTTTGTACAAAACTGCAAAATAGTTGAAAGATTCGTACTTTTAACAATACAACAATAAATTTCCGAAATATATACTGTAGGTATATTATTTTGCATTTTATGAGCTTTGATTTAATGTAAAATTTAATAACTTGAAACGCGTCGTAAAATGTTTTGAAATGTTCGCTCAAGTAAACTACATTTTGCCGATAAACGTAATAAGTTTTTTAATACAAATAAAACAAACTGTTAGGTATTTTCAGTTCAGTATTCAAATCAGTTTGTTCGCCTTTAAATTTTAAGATTTCGTCTCAAATTGAACGGTCATTTATGAACTTAGAGCTTCGTTGAAAAGGAAAACAGCTCATGTTTTTAGGCAAAAAGTGAAAGCAACAAAATTCATAAACATTTAATAAATATTCAAAGCAAACTTGTCGTATATTTTACGATTTCCCATAGTAAATCAATTCTTCTCATTTCTTCAAAAAAATTACTTCAAACTTGTTGTATATGAAACGATTTTCCAAGTATATGTCTTTTAAAATAGAAATCTTGCTTATCCCACTCCTGCAAGCAATCAGCCATATTTTTGAGATCAGTGACGATACCACCCATTCAAGATCGTTGGTCACGCGCGCGATTATTGATGAACTTTAGACTTCGCTAATGCTTTCGTTTCCCCGGGTGTAAATAGCCGGCGGGGAATTAGTACCCTCGCACGGCGCTTCGCGCCGTCGGCTCGGGGATTATTTTATTATTATTAAAATGATTAATCGTGCAAGGAACAGCAACAGTTAGCTCAGAGCCGTCAATAGTCTATCGTCCGATCCCTGAGTTGTTGCATCATTTAAATTTAACCTGAAGTTCAGGCCCTAATCACAGAATAGGGCCTGACACAAAACCTATCCAAACTGTGGGATTCCCGTCCACCTGGTGCACGGGAAATCTGATTGGTTGATCAGCATCATGAAGGATTTTGATTGGTTGCAAGTTTACAAAAACAACAGTTTTAAAAATAGATCGATCAAGGACACAATTAATAATATAAAGGTCAAACGCACGTAACAAATTCCATTATCGATTTCTTCGAATTTCTTTTCTTTTATGCTTCATGGCAGAAAATAAATCAAACAAACAGTATTTTGAAAGGGCTTTATCAAAATCTTGGACGAATTTTGGACACACGACGCTGAAAGAACAGCCAAACTAGTCATGTATTCGAAAGCTTGTTGTTGACAGCCAACTTAGATGTTCTGCCAACTGGCTTCGCCAGCAAAAGTCTTATTTTTAATATCATGTCCTACCGGCGTTGTTTTCTGAGCTACATCGCCTTCTTCGTGGTACGATTGAGAATTTCATTGTTACAGAGAAACTGACTCTTAATTATATAAAAATACCTTGAATTTTTAAGTTTAATTATAAAGCAAAATGCACACTCTGCGGATATGTTCATGAGAATATAAATTTTGTGTGTAATGAAATCTACAACACTTGTCAATCATATTGCATGTTGTGTAGATGCAATATGATTGAGACTATGCAGAAGATTTAACTTGAGACTATGCAGAAGATTTAACTTGAAGAAGTCTGTAAAAGCACCGACAAGAGGCACCAGAGTTTTGGACCAAATACTAACGAACATGTCAGATTTATATAAAGAAGTGATGTACCTGCCTCCAGTCGGTCGCTCTGACCATCAATGTTTGTTGTATAGTCCCAAAACAATACAAACTGTGAAGCCTTCTACTCGAAAAGTGCGCCTAATGAAACCATGTAACCTAAATGCACTCGGCCTAAAATTAAACCTTGAGGACTGAAAATCAATATTTGAGGCTCGAGATATCAATAACAAAGTTAGTCTTTTTACAAATACTATAATAGACATATTAGATAAAACAATACCTGTAACCACGATACGTACCCATGCGTCTGACAAGCCATGGATGACGGCTTATATCAAAAAAGAGATTAAAGCGAGGCAAAAAGCCTATACTACTGGGAACATGACCAAATATAGACAATTGGCTGATAAGATCATTACACTTATCAAGAAAGCTAAAGCAGAATTTTATTCATCTAAGGTTAAAAGCAAACGCAAACACGATGCAGTAAAATGGCATAGAACGATATCCCAGTTAGCTGGCTTTGAAGGTGACAATCTAGACAACAACTTAATCTCAGACAGCACTTCCGATACAGTGGAAATACTGCAGAATATATTTACTAAACCATGGTCAAAACTTCCTGAAACCATAATCCCTAGTCTTGAAGACGTAGCGTCATCACTGAGGCAAGAAAATCCTCCTACTCCCTCAATTGGACAGGTTAAGACTGCCTTGAAACAACTAAACTCTAAAAAAGCCACCGGGTCCGATGGGATTCCAGCATGGGTGCTTAAACGATACTGTGAAGAACAAGCGCCCATCGCTCATGACATTATTTGCGCCAGTATAAAAGAATGTGAATATCCAACTGCGTATAAACGCGCCTTAGTTATCCCAGTTCCGAAGGTCAATCCACCAAGAGATATCGAGAATGACTTTCGCCAGATATCCATTCTTCCCCAAATGGCTAAAGTGCTGGAAAAGCTGCAGCTCAAACTGAACCTTCCCAGTTCATGTATAAATGATAATCAGCATGCCTTTACAAGCAAACGATCAACCGTGTCCGCACTCACCAACATCTCGCAGAACTGGTTTAATGTGACCGACCATACGCATAGTGCCAAAAATGGAGTTCATGCACTATTCATAGATTTTCGCAAAACATTTGACCTTGTTGACCACGGAATTCTACTTCGTAAGCTCGCAGAAATGAATGTAACCAAAGCCTTTTGGCTATGGACACGTAGTTTTCTGGAAGATAGAAGACAACAGGTCAAACTATCAGGAACCCTATCATCGGTCAAACCTTGTCCTGCAGGAGTCCCACAAGGTTCTGTGATGTCCCCCGCTCTTTTTAATATTCACATTAACGATATTGAGAACTCAATCCCAGATGGATTATCCATAAATATATGCAAATACGCGGATGATTGCACATAGGACGAAGTGGTGTCACAAGGTTCATCCAGCCATATGCAGGAGGCCCTTGAAGCAGTACAAGAATGGTCTAATAGGAATAAAATGACGATAAATTCGAAGAAAACAAAAGATATGTGGATATGTTTTAACACAGCAATACCGGCACCAGAACCATTGGTCATTGGAAACGAGATAGTGGAAAGAGTAAATTCTCATAAACTGTTGGGTGTCTGGCATCAAAACAATTTGAAATGGAACTGTCATGTCAAGAACATTGTAAGGAAAGCAAATAAACGAATGTTCAGTCTGAGAGAATGCCGTAGGGCGAATCTTCCTCCTGAGGTCGGTATTACATGTTACGAATCCAAGATTAGACCTGTTTTAGAATATGCAGCTCCGATATGGGGTGGTTTACCACAATATCTCATTAATGAAATAGAGAGCATTCAAAACAGATGCATCAAAATCCTCGGCACATCTCGGTGCAACTTTGAAACGCTAGAACAAAGAAGGGCACACCTAACTGTTAAGGAATACCAAAGAATTCTAAGTGATCCGACCAACCCATGTAATAAACTTATCCCCCAACCTTTTACCCATAAACACGATCTAAGAACAACAAATAATCTACCATATGTTGTATCGTATACTAAAAGACACCGGCAATCCTTTATACCTAGAGCTATATCCCTTTTAAAACAGTCCTAAATTAATTTTATAGAATATATAACTAGTATAAACATAATAATAAAATTTAATAAAATCGAATAATAGTAAAATTTCTTCTTAGCAATTTTAACCTTAGCTTCTTGTAAATCCATTGTACATTTTTAACCAAAGATGGATATTAAATGTTATTATTATTACAGAGTACTTGTGTCTAAAAATAACATGTGGGCGTCCCACGGTCTAGACAGGTTTTGTGGCAGGCCCTATTTCAAATTAGGGCCTGAACTTCAGGTTATTTAAATTACGCTCCTGCTGTCTCCGATTTTATACTAATATATGTGTCATTTTTGTTGTGGTACGTTAAATGATAGATTGCGCATGCATAACCGATTTAAGCGTAAAAGTGCGCATGTGCAACAAGCTTTTACACCCCACAAACAAAGAAGCAAATGTTTTAGCTTAAATTCGCTGATTGCAAGTGGAGCGTGTTTGTCCATTTTCAAATTGGAACTATGCGATTACAAATTAATAGCATGGCTTTTCGGGAGATTAGTGATTAAATGACCCCTTACCCTCGTGCCAAGGGTAAGGGGTCATTTAATCACTAATCTCCAGAAAAGCCATGCTATATTACTTATAATTATGCGTGTTGGACGTAAACAACATATCTTGTCTACAACTTTGGGAAGGTACATGCAGATAAATCTTTCTGAAATCCTTAGTTCTGCATCCCTCTATCTAAATAAAATCACAAGGACGGCAATGCTAAGTCTTTTGGCTACGTCTCTGGGCCGAGAAATAACTCTTTTAACGCGATCAAGGTATTTAATTAAAACATAAGTAACGCAAAGCCAACGGATCGACAAAGACAACACTAAAATGAAATATTTTCGATGCATGAGTTGCTGGTAGAAGACTTACAACAGGACCACTCTTTAGTAATCTTAAACTAGAAAAATAAATCTTCACATCAAAGACAAATAACAGTGCCATGCAAAGTATAAAATCTGCTCAGTAAACTTACGACGAGTGGAGAAATGTGTGCATGAGCTGCTTATTTGGTGATTACAACGTATATGAAAGCCCTCTTTCCAATAATACTTGATAATCATACAGAATAACACCAACTGATATAATATTTCAAACGCAATGATAAGTTACTTCAAAAACTGTGTTGGAAATTTAATTGCTAACCCATTACATAACATTACCGTTTTACATCGGTGTATAAAACATTTTGATCGCATGTAAGGAATTATTTCTCAGCCCAGAGACATAGCCAAAAACTTCGCATTAACGTCCTTGTAATTTTATTGAGATAGAGCCAGAACTGAGGATTTCAGAAAGCTTTAACTGTACCTTCCCAAAGTTGTAGACAAGATATGTTGTTTACGTCCAACACGCATAATATAACATAACTCAAAATGATTCGAACAAAACCGGTCTTTTGATAAAAGGAAGACTGGTTAATAGAAATTGGTCTTTTTGAGTGACATAATCGTTTGTCGTCATCGATCCGTGTCGTTGGACAATGAAAAAAGTTGTTGTGAAATTAGTGAAGATAAAATTGTGAGAAAACTGCCAGGGGGGTAAGTTTGGACCAGCCTGCCCCTGGTTCTACCGGAATTGTGTGCCCCAAGGTAGTGGTATCCGGCTAGATCTTTTTGAAGTGCCATGAAGCTATTACAATATGAACATTTTGCTGGTCGTTTAGAAGCGAATTTTAATGGTATCTTGAACTGGAAATACAAAAATATAGCAAAATATGCAATAAAAAACACAACTATGCAGAAATAACACCACGCAGAAATTGTTTTTGACATAAACAGTGAAATGTTTGCCACAGTACTTATGCACGTACAACCTTAGATGAACAAGGTCCCCGGATAACTCAGTTCAGGGTGCCCCCCCTGGAAACCTGCTTGCCTGGGTGCCCCGGCTCTTACAGGGTAGAGCTCATAGGAGTAACGCCACTGAAAACAGCAGGTCTATAGAACGGTAAGTTTTCGGATTTAAACTCAGCGGGTTCGAAAGTGTTCCCGTAAAAATATTTCAGCTCCAAGACAGGTGAAATAAAAATCGCTTTCTAGACACTTTTCGAGGTCACAGCATACGGGCTAATTTTTTTTTTTTAATCTTGTCTGGGTCATAAGAATTTTAATTTTCTAAAGTTTTGAAATGAACAGACTTGCAGAAATACATATACCAAAGCAATGGGTTAAACTCAGGTTCAGCGATAATCGCGCTTTGAACGTATCTATAACCTCCGTATCTATAACCAATCATGAGATGGATAATTGCCTGTCCATTTTTTGGCTTTTACGTGCGCTTGCGCGTGGGATTAATATTAACGCGAATACTGTTTTAATATTGTAGGCTAATCTTATGATAACTTTGGAGCGTACTTTCCGTGGTTTTCCATGGCTGTTTCCTGCAACTGTTAAAGAGGAAATCAGAATAGAATTTAAGGATCAAAGTTCACGATCGTGGTTCACGAAGCTGTGGGAAGTGCTGTTTGAAGAAGTAGACGAAGTAATGACTAACGCCACAGAAAAGAAAGAGGAGAGATTGGAGAAAATCGAAGGGAAATTGAACGCATTATCGCGTAAATATGAAATCGGAGAAAAGAAAATTGAAGAACAACTGAACAAGATTCAAACGATGCTTGAAAAGATGGAAAGTAATATTCAGCCAGCTGTCCAATCCAATCAATGTAAGGATACTCGTAAGTGAGGGCCAATCTCGTTTTAATTACTCTTATGAATGAACAGCACGATTTGTTAACACACATTTATTAACCCTAATGATTTAAGGTGGCTCGATACACTTTTCAAAAATGCAGGTGTTCCCTTTGGCGTGTACAAACTATGCATTTTTAGGGTTTATTCAGCAGATATTGAGGGTTTTATATATTTTGATATTTCTAATTTAAAATTATATTACTTTTAGTAACCAGATAATTCGTTGCTATATATATGGCGACATATGTGTACGAAATTCACTCCAAAATGGCCTATCGTCTCGTATAGATAGAAAAGAAGCATGGTGATCCCCAATTTTGTTCGTGCATTATTTTACTTGGAAGAAAAGCTAACAATTACCAAAATATAAAAAAATTCTGTAATGCCATTTTTTGGGGAAAATGCGAAAATGTCGTACTTTTTGGTATGTTTTTGGCATTACAGAATTTTTTATTTTTTGTGTAATGAAAGTTTTTAGCGGTGCGATGCAGCATGCAAAATTTGAACATAGGTCACCGGACAAAATAGAGAGATATAGACCTTATTCATAAATCGTGATCGAGGCCTCGTATCATTGGATACGGGGAAAACGCGGGAAAATTGACAAAATGTTTTTTTGCTGTGGGCTATGGCAGCTTTTTTTCGAAAATTTAACGGCTTTCAGATTCGAAAATATTAGCTATAAAACTGACCTTGAAAGTTGAAATAATACTTCTGAGAAAATATAACATGATATTTAACGTAAAAGATGCTGCAGTCAATCGGAAAAGATCTCTTTACTATTGTGGTAATTTGTATGGCCAAAAGAAGCAACCAGCAAGGGCTACAAAACGTCTACAACGCCAAAATCGTACGGAATATGAAGCTATTTTTGAAGAAATAAGATTACAACTCTTTCATTTTGTTAATCTGTTTCCCCGACTTGCGCGCGTAAAAATGGTCACCCGGTTTTGTTCGCGATTCTTGAGCAGAATTTTTAGTAATAACTATGTCGAGCCACCTTAAGCGATCTGACTTTCGCCCTCAATGTAACTTCTTTTTGTAATTTTTCAGAAGTCAATAAACGTGATCATTATTATAATTCATGATTGGACCAAACAGTAGCACCACTGAAAATAGTTGTAATTTAAAATTTTTTGAGTTAAAAATTACCATTCTCTATGCCTTGCTATACTAAAATTTTCAATAAATTTTTTATGAACACGAGTCTTTACATTATCATAAGAAATCTGCCTTTATAAATTAAGGATTTTGGAATGATTTGGTGTGCTCAATCATGTTATTGAGCACATGGGGTTTTGGATGTTCAGGAAAAAGCTTAAGACTCTGAGTTAGTCTTAGCGTTAGTCGAGACCAGCTCAGCCGTTGAGTGTTCTCCCAACATCCAAGTGCTCAACAACTTGATTGAGCATGACGCCAAGTCATGAAAAATTATTTTGTCCTCTAGCCAACGGCGCAGAGCGAGGTTACGGGTGTTAGCCCGGAGCGAGGATACTAATTCTGCTCGGTTATTTACACCGGGGAAAGGAAACTTTTAGGGAAGTCTAAAGTTCATTGGTAATAATCGTGGGCGCGTGGCTATGGTTTAAGGGTGACCTCCCACTGATCTAAAATATGGCACTTTGGCAAGAGTGGGATAAGCAATATTTCAATTTTCAAAAACATATATTTGGGAAATCTTTTCATATAATTAATTTTATAGCAATTGATTTATTATGGGAAATTATGAAATATAAGGCGAGTTTGCTTTGAAACCGACATTTCGGTTCGATCTTCAAATTTAATTGCTCGCCTTTACATAATTTAATTTGAACTTTTTTATTTCATTAATTAATTAAAACAGTTTATCGGCAGAGGCAGTTAGTCGAATGAACATTTCAAAACATTTTACGAAGTGATTGATGTTAAATTTTACATTAAACCAAAGCTCATAAAATGCAAAATAACATACCTGTAGTACACTTTTTGGAAATTCATCGTTTTGTCGTCAAAAGAACTAATCATTCAACTATTTTTTCCCTTTTGCACAAATAATATAAAAAATTAGAAATTTAAAATCATCGTGCTGCCATAGCAACACTTGAAGTAATTAATCGCAACCATGCATGCAAGCATGTATTTCTGGTATAGCTATAAACATTAGAGGTGTTTTGACTAGCCTACAAATGTAAAGTCGGTTGTCAGTCAAAAGAAATTGGCATAATGTTTTTATTTAACAAATTTTATCATCGCGAGAAATCGTCGCCAAGTTCAATTTCGTAGCCAAAGCTACCAGTTTAGTGGTTGTGGCCACGCTGGTTTTAAAAAAAACTATCCTGATTGGTCGATCTATGAGCTATTGGACCCATATCCCATGTGTCATTTGTTATAAACTCAAAATATGTGTTTCAAACTGTATTTTGACACGTACTCTACCGACTACATAAAGTACTATATACAAGTCTAATAACATCCTGTTTTTGTATCTGCGAATGCAGATATATTGCTGTCGTGCGCGTACCTAATTTCTGCAACTGAATGTCATTGCCAAGAACACCAGGTAAGAAATTTATATTCCCCTATCCCATACTATATTGTCTTACAATCAACAACAACCATATGTCATAATGGTATCTTATTTATACCACACAATGTACAAAACTAAACCTACTATTCTGTTTATTGGTTTTAATTCAACGACACAATATTGTTGCATGGATCTGGTATGCTGAATTATATCATTCTATTAAAAAAAACTATATGCATCGATTATACTTCTAATTTCCATATTTGTCATCATTTGTCACTGATTATTATATATTATATTTGCTTGGCGTAAACAGTTGATTTAAGCTCCATCAACCCTGTCTATGACATTTTTTTAAATGAAATATATCAGTTATAAACAGCAGAAATGTTGATGTCATGTATCAATTATGGTAAAAAGGCTTTCAAAACTCTGCAAGTGTATTTTGGCAACACCTGTTATCCTGACAACATCTATATGCCTGTACAATGTTCTTGTTCTAAAGTTTATTATGAACTATCAAGAAGATTTGGAACCGACAAGTTTTAACAAGAAGATTATAAACTGAAATGATTCAAGAAGAACATCATAAAACTGAATTTCATCCTTGTGAAGTTATAGCCGAAATTAGTTCCTGCAAGTTGAAAATATATCAGCCATTTTTTTTTTTTTTTCATCTGACATACTACAAATCCAACTTCATTTAACTGGTTAACTGTGTATAATGTCTATAATAAATATTTGTGATGTTTACAAAAAAATGTGTAACAATTATTCGAAGAAGGCGAGATGATTATCGGGAATATATTCGCCGAGACGAAGTGGAGGTGAATATTCCCCGATAATCACCGAGCCTGAGGCGAATAATTGTTTTAGTATTTTTACACAATTCTTTTGTGTTTTTGGGACGGAATTTATTTTAATTTCGTTTATTTCTTTATCAGTAACCTCCACAAAACTGCTAGCGGCCATTTTGAAAATTTCAGTTTTGTTATATTCACCTGTAGGTGAATATAACTGCTTGATACGTCAAATTTGACCAATCAGCGTGTACGATTTGTTATGTTCACTTGTGCAAAAATACAAAATTCATTTAAACATCAGTCTCTTAATAATTTTACAAGCTACTGAGTATTGATTGAATCCTTGGCAACAGTGCAATCACCATGAGCAGATACATGTACACTTAGCGTACCTATTTTTTTACTTTATTAACATAACAATACACTGGATAATCTAACTGATAATACGCTGCATAATCAGCAGAATAATTTAGTAAGTTCTAACTCAACGAATTCTTAATGAGTTCTTAATATTATAAAACGTTCATAATATTCTCACAACATCCCATTTTTCCTCAACATTGGAATCGATCCGGCGGACAAACCTCGCGACTTCGACGCGTCACGTAAATCGGCTGTCTGCGATCGTTAGTGCTGCTCCTGCCTAAATTCATCAACTCATCTGCTTCGTCAAGATTAATCTGGTCCGGCATGACGTCTCGCGTACTCTGATCGATTCTGCTCCGGTTGAGTATGTTGTCTTCAAACGTTTCTTTTCCTCGTACTCTTTCTCGTTTCTCGACGCAAGATCTCTCTCGCACAATCTTGAAATGTGACTTGTTCCGCATTAAAACGTTCCCGTCATGGCGTTTCCATACATCTTTACCAGGAATCGGGCTAAGTGGATCTGTCCGTTTGTTTTTCATGAGAATCTTGTTTCCAACAGCAATTCGGACTTTCTCACGTTTGGACTTAAACTTATACAAGGCATTATTTTGTCTGACTTCTGGGTGATTATCACGTTCGGGTTTTCTGAGATCTCTGGCAATAGTCCAAGTCGCATTTTTCTCCCAAACATGAGCTCGAATGGACTTTTCCCTGTAGCAGGATGCGTGTGACACGGTAAGCATCTGTTAACTAATCTTGTATTGCTGTCCTTGTGACAATCTTGCATATTTCTACCGGACCATCAATTGATAAATTCACCTATAGACGCTGACTCACATTCTATTACTCTCGTGTATTGTCAACGACTGTATTTGTAAAATTTATGTCTTGTTGATAAAGTTTGACAAACGTAGACATATGCAACGCTGTTCAACTATGTTCGGACGGCCACATTTCGTTTATGTAATTTTCTGGTTATATATTACAAATAATCTTTCACTTGTTAAAACCAACAAAAGTACTCTAATACCAGCAAAAGACCGGCAGTGTCCACGTACATTAGCTCAAATCTCGCAATCCTTCCTGAACAACAATACTGCAGCTGAGTTTCTACACGAGATATCAAATTAAGAAAGCTAAACATGTCGACCAACTCTCGTTACGGTTTGGACCTTCAAACAAATCGGAAAAACTCTAACACCATTATTTGTATTCTGCTTGCTGGTGATATTGCGATAAATACAGGCCCTTTCAATCTACGTCCCATTAAAAACGAGAAAGGTTTCTCTTTTTGTCACTGGAATATCCAATGGGTTG